TCCCCCCTCCCCCACCAGGAACAATCACCGCTTGTATGTACGGCGTGTATGAGCTGCGTACGGAGAACGTGACGCGTGAGCTGGGAGAGGTGGACTGGTGCAGTAACGACACCGCTCACCTCAGGTTCGGGCCCGGCACGACCACACAGGTGGGGGACAGCCTCGTTCTCAACGCCACGGTCAGCTCTGGGGAGTACAGCATCAGCCCCACCCTCGGCAACCCCTCCCCCTCCTCCGCCTCCTCCTCTCTATCATCATCATCAGACGACATATCCCCGTCAGCTGTTGTAGAGATCGTCATCAACAACAGCAGTTTCCAACATGGCGCCGGAATGGCCGGAAGTGGGCGTGATAACATGACTTCCGGTTCCGGTGGATCACTGGGAGGTTGGGCGGGTGGTGAGCGTGAGTCCCCGCGGGTGTGCACGAGACAGGAGAGCTCGTGGGTGTACAACGGCGGCCTGTGCGCGGAGAACGAGATCATCTTCACGGAGGAGTTCATCGTGCTGTACCAGAAGGTCTACATGTCCTTCTTCGTCATCTCTCTGCTGGTGGTCTTCACCTTGTACTTCTTCATCTATCGCTCGGTCGTCAGACGCCGCGCTTGGCGCAGGAAGCAGAAGTCGTGGTCTCACTCACCCATGACCATGACAGCCGCCGCGGCCACGGGGGGGAGCAAGGACACGTGCAAGAGCCGCTCGATGACCACTCACACCACACTCACCACCCCCGCCCCGGGGCCCGAGAACCTGGAGCTCACGTCATCGGGGGTCACAGGTCAGGCGGTTGAGAACTGCCCAGGGGCGGTGGGTGACGTCACAAAGGACGCTGCAGTTGCTGGAAGTGACGGTGGTGGTGGTGGTGGTGAGAACAAAGCTAACGACAAATCCGGAGAGCGCGGGGAGGACAATAAGCTTCTCCCATCGGCGACTGACGGCAACAACACCTCCTCCACCAACCCCATCAACACCACCAACGCCAACAACATCAGCAACAGCATCAACAATGTGAACAACGCCAATAACCTCAACAACACCGCCACCACCACGAATGACGTGTTGAGTCAGAAAAAGCCAAGCACCCCCAGCACCCCCTCCCCCCGAACCACGTCTATGATCACCATCGCTAAGTCTGGAACACACGAGAACGGGGTGGAGACTTCCGCTCTGACGTCATCAGCGGAGAAGAAAACGAACCGCGAGAGGCGAGACTTTAACTTCCTCGCCAACATCCGCACGGCCGGCATGCTTTTTGTCGTGGCCATCGTCTTCATCTTCAGCTTCCTCCCCGCCTGGCTGATGGCGACCAACATCGCCACCTACCAAATCTTCATCTTCTACATGCACTTTCTCTACAACGTGGCCAACCCCGTCATTTACGCCTTTATGAACCAGTCTTTTCGCAAGGAGCTCAAGCGAGTGTTCCAAAGAGGTACCCATTTCTTGAGAAGCGCCTGAGCTCCAGCCTTTTGCCCTGTTCTATATTACTCCTTCCCAGCCCTATTGCCATCATAGATCCTCCTTTTTGAACTGTCTTTGTGCTAGACTTCCCTCGTTCCTATCATGAGTTCACCCGTTTTGTGATTTGGCCTTCAGTTATCCCCCCTACAAGTACCACCCTCTAGTTATTGCCCCTTCCAAATCATTTCGCTATTTTAAGTAGCTTCTTGTTTCAGTTCACCTTTCTTCCAAGATATAGAATATTATCCCTACACCGAATAAAAATTACATTCATTATAAAATTATGATAAATGACAATCTTAGTTGTTATAATGAAGTCAACCATTGTGATTTCTTTTTAACTTTCTCGCGGTTTTTTAAAATAATTTTTTTAAACAAACAGTCAAGTTAAAATTGCTTTAATTTTGATCGTTTTCATCGCTGCCTTTCTTTTTCTAGTATTATTATTATCATCATCATCATCATCATCATTATCATTATTATTATTATTATCATTATCATTATTATTATTATTACTAATGTTGCATGAACAACATCACAAACGCACACAGACATTTCAAGGACAGTTCCATCCATCCTGTACCTGGCCACCCTAGCACAGCTTTAGACGAACACACAGCCCGGGGCTCTAGTCCTAGTATACCTTGTGCACAGTCACGAGCCTTTGGGCCGTAAATCAAAACTCCAAACTGGAAAGGGAACTTAATCCAATGATTTATTGACGTCTTAATCATGTCTATAGACGGATTGGTCATATAATGATAATGCTATAGTAAGGCTGCGCCAATTGAAGGAGTTTGGTTCACGGATTGCGGCTACGTTTGTGTACAAAAAAGCTAGAACGTGACCTATTCTCTCCACACGCTAGGACTATGACAGTCTTGCCAGGTGATCATTGACCGCAGAGTCCCCGCAAGTGACAAAACGTCTATGGCTTTATACATTTCTTTTTCTTATTTTCTTTTTTTCCGTTTCTTTTTTTTTTCCTTTTTTTAGCACGTATCTTCCTCCACAACTGATAGATCTTCCTGGTTTTTCTGTTCAGGAGGATGTTCTTTTTGGCTCCACCAGCACTTGTGTCATCTTGTGACGAATGAATCAATGAGTTGTTGCTGGCTGGTACTCTCTCACACCCAACACTTGTGTCATCTTGTGACGAATGAATCAATGAGTTGTTGCTGGTCTGGTACTCTCTCACACCCAACACTTGTGTCATCTTGTGACGAATGAATCAATGAGTTGTTGCTGGTCTGGTACTCTCTCACACCCAACACTTGTGTCATCTTGTGACGAATGA